ATGCTTTTCACTATTGCAACCCTCCTGTACCTGCCTCCCACACAGCACTATGAGAGGGTTGTCCATGCCTTCTCTCTATGCATTTGTCTAATGATTTAAAAAAGAACAAAATAAAATATTGATATGTTGACATGGCAACGTACCTGCTGTTGTAGTTTGTAAGACCATCTTAGGAATGGAGAGAATAAAAGGCCTTGTGCATCTTTAAGTAGAAAACAAGTGAAAGATTTGGTTTACAACAAAGGTAAGACTTCAGCCGGCAGGGCAGTGACCTTGGAGAGTGTAGATGTGTTTCATTTTTACTGCACAATTGAACTGCCTGACAACAGAATATAGCAATGTGACCTGTGAGTAATACCGACACTGTTGGCGAACCGATATGCAGATGGTGCAATGCAGAAAACTCAGGCTTTCATTGCTACTTTTCTGTATTTTAAAGCATCTTACCCTGGACTCTATCATTATTACAGTCCAAAGATTGCACACTACAAAACATACGAAAGCCATAAAGTGTGAGGCCCTTTCAGGAGGCAGTTACCATGGATTTACTTTGTGTTGAGTACAATATAACCCCAGCCAAAGGATAAATACTGCAGGCAAAAGTGTACTTGGCGTGAGAAGTCTAGCAGAGAGCCTAACACCAGCCAACTAGAGAGAGGTCAGAATAAAAATAGAACATGTGACTTTGTAGCACTGTGATGAATGTGATGGGAATAATTTGAACTTTTTGCAAGGCTCAAACAAGTGTTAGTGAGTTAACAGTCCATTTACATTTCTCCCCATTTCTAGTTTCATTGACCTCAATCACACTGTTTCAAAAACAAAGACAAAAAGTTGGAAGTATAGCACCTCAACTTCCACTTGACAACTCTACAATCTTCTGGACTCAATATCACATTCAACCATCTTAGGGCTGAAGGCACCTTCTCCCATGTCCTCACCCAAACCCCATGCACCAGGCCTTGTTATCACATCCTCTGCCATTACACACTACCCATTGTTAGCTACTAATATTCCCCATTAGCAGCCATACATTCTCTAAGGCTGATCGTCATCCATTCCTCCGTCTGTCCAACTGTTCTTCTGTCTCTTTTGGCCTCTATCTCCACCTATCATTTACTCCTTACCCCCTCCCCCCACCCTATCCCCTGCATAAAAAACAACTATTTCCTATCCCCCCACCCTATCCCCTGCATAAAAACCAACTATTTCCTAGCTATCATCAGTTCTGAAGTAGTGTCACTGGACCCAAAACGTTAACTCTGATTTCTCTCCACAGATGCTGCCAGACCTGCTGCAATTTTCCAGCAATTTCTGTTTTTGTTTCTAATTTCTAGCATCCACAATTCTTTTGGTTTTTTATACACTTTTCAAAATGTGCGTAAAGTAATTGCCCCAAATTTTAAGCAAAGCAGGATCCAAAGTTATATTTCTGATGTTTCAATCTTGAACAATTTTAAGTCCTTTCCCTTATCCCACACCCCATTTCATTTTGCTTTGTGTGCATTTTTATGGCATCAGTATACATTACATTAACAATTGGAAGCTTTCTATATCCTTAAGCATGCTACACCAAATGGGCATAAGCAATAGTTTGATGGCTTCAGATTTTAATATACCCTTTTAAAATGGGAAGTGATGGTGTGTGTTCAGAACTTTCCCTGGGGCCTGACTCTTTACATTGATTGTCCCATTCCAGTATTGCATACAATGCCTTCAGGACTTGTTGATTGTGTCCTCACAGGAAAATTGGAGGTACTAATTTTTATAATTGGAGGCACTAATTTTTATGTTATTTTTGTTCACTTCTGGGGGTAGATAAAAGACTGATTACTGGAGATATATATTTGTACTAAGTTCATTTTATACTTTCAGAATGAATGTTGAGGTACATCAACTGAAAACTATAGTGGAATACTGTGCAGGCGAAAGTTAATTTGCTCCCAATAGCAAAATCAGCAACTTAGAGGATGGTGTTTGATTCCTAGGAAGGTTATCAAAGACTTGACTAGATCACAAAGCAAGTGTAAGGAGGTTGCTGCTGTATCATTGATACAGTTTAGAATAAGGTTGATTTAAAAGGCCCAAAAACATAAGAAACATCTTATTTTGTCTTTCAGGTCACCGCAAAGCGCTTGACACATAAGAATATGCAGTATGTAGGCAAATATGACAGAGAATAACAGAGGTGTGAGAGGGATCGATTATGAATTTTCCAGCTTTTTATGTACCATGTCCAAGAGTGAGGGAAATTTACAAAGGGGTTCCCCAAATATGGAATGTTAAGAATTGTGGACCCTGATATTTACTAGGGTTTTCACGTGGGGAGGGTATACTTCTTGTTGATAAACCCTGAAGTTTGGGTTTCTCTACAATTCATGCTCTTTTAAACCACTTTCCTACTTGGAAGCCAACCTGTTTGACAGGCTTGGCTCCCTTTTGGGCAGGAAACTCTCCAGAAATTGCCACAAGCCAGGATCCTCAGGATAGAGATGGTAAAAGAGGATACAGCATGGTGGGGAAGGTTGATGGACGATTGCTGGGATTCAGAGTGACATGAGATGGGAGTTCATTGAGGGTCAGGGGTGGGTGAGAACATGGGTACAATCGTGGGATAGGGGTTTAAGTCCATGTAGGAATCAGATAAACTTGGCTTGCTGAGAGCAAATCATTTGTGCCCCTTCTGGCCCAAAAGCAGTGCTGAGAAAACACTTACCTGCTCCATGCAGCAGTCTTCTCTTTTTTGGTGCTGGATTTCCTGATGCCTAAGAAACCCAGCCAGCCAGCAATAAAGCTGGAAGCAAAATTAAACCTGAGTTATTAAAATAATTCATAACCAACCCACTTTCCTTGATCAGATTGGTGGACCATCTCATCCCACATCAACTGAAAGCAAAAAGGGGTGATGAGAGGCAGGTTGGGCTTGGGTTTGAGATTTTTACATGTTAACATTCCACTCAACCCAAACCAAGCCATTTGGTAAAATTACTCACTAAAAGTAAATTATCCATCTGTCTGCTATTATTATCTTTATGTGCCTTATGAATTTTGGGGTTTATGTAAAGAGGGTAATTTCCAGTTTCCCTGTATCTGCCACTAACTGGTAGAAAATGGCATCTGAAACTCTGAACCTCTGTTTAATTATTTGTAAACAGATTGGAGACAGTTTATGAATGCATTCCATCCCAAGTCCAAGTAATAGCAGCTGCTTGTTTGGCTATGATACTACAACAGCCAAATAGTCTTCCAGCTCATGAAGAAATTGGCTAACTTGGAGAAGAGCTGCTTCTGCCAGTGGAATCACACCCTGGCAAGAGTCATGAGTGCCGATTTCCTGATCAACTAGTAAACTGCTCAAATTATGTTCAGAAAATCCATTCCAGCATCTGCAGGAGGAGGAGAATTAGACAGGATTCATTTTAAATGTAAGAAATTATATTAACTATTTACTGTAAAGATTACTAACTGCCCAGCAATGAGCCTGAAATGCTCCCTCCTTTGAACCAAACAAAATTTATTTTCAGGGCTCATGGCATCATCGGATTGACTTGCAATTGAATTATCACCTTGTAACTCACTGCAGCCAAGTATGCACACATTGATGGTTCTCCCTTTAATACATTGAGTCAATTATCCTCTCTACACATACCTCTAGGGATATAACAATTATCCTTTAGAGAGTGACACGCCACGTGAGATTCACATTACTCTCAGCTGTCTGCTGCAGTCACTGAAGAATGAGAATGTGACAACATTTGTCTGCTTATTTCCACACTAGTTAAACTAATTATTTTAAAAATTCAGACCCCATTAAGTAGTCTCCATGCACGAGTGACTCTGGTCAGGCTCTAGTGTATGATATAGGCCTGCACATAGCATCCTGGAGGCATAAACCCTGTAATCAATTAGGGACTAAGTGAATGGAGCAACTGGGAAATTTTCTAACTGGATGCACTAAGATGGTTAGGATGGTTGTCCTTACGTGTTTTGTTCTATGGAAGCTTCTGTGGCCACCTGAATGACAGCTGACTTGCTATAAATTGAACTTTAGGATACCGAGTTAACCTTCCCTCCCTCCCCTAATCATTTGCAGTCAAGTAGACTGCCCAACCAATTGCTGCCGACAGAGGGATCTTGGGGTTCATGTCCACAGTTCCCTGAAAGCTGCCACCCAGGTGGATAGAGTTGTTAAGAAGGCATATGGTGTGTTAGCCTTCATTAATAGAGGGATTGAGTTCAAGAGCCGTGAAGTTATACTCCAGCTATACAAAAGCCTGGTTCGGCCACATCTGGAGTATTGTGTCCAGTTCTGGTCGCCTCATTACAGGAAAGATGTGGAAGCGTTGGAAAAGATGCAGAGGAGATTTACCGGGATGTTGCCTGGAATGGAGGGAAGGTCTTACGAGGAAAGGTTGAGAGAGCTAGGGCTTTTCTGTTTAGAACGACGAAGGACGAGAGGTGACTTGATAGAGGTGTACAAAATGATCAGAGGTATAGATAAAGTGGACAGCCAGATACTTTTTCCTAGGGTGGAGGTAGCTATTAGAAGGGGGCATAGTTTTAAAGTGAGTGGAGGTAGATATAGGGGAGACGTCAGAGGTAGGTTCTTTACTCAGAGAGTGGTAGGGGCGTGGAATGTATTGCTGGAGAGGGTAGTGGAGTTGGCCTCATTAGGGGCATTTAAGCAGCTATTAGATAGGCATATGGGTGATAGTATAAGGTAGGGGTAGAGGTTAGATAGACCTTAGTTTTAGGGTAAAAGTTCAGCACAACATCATGGGCCGAAGGGTCTGTATTGTGTGTACTGTTCTATGTTCTATGTTCGATGTTCTAAAACAGTCAATTGACCAAGACCTGCCAGGAACCTGTCAGATCATGACACCAGATGAATGTTTGCACCTTCAGGAACAGATTGAAAGAATATAACACAATATCCTGATGAGGACAAAGAGTAAAAGGCATCGTGCTGGTATCTAATTCATCTCTTGTTTTCTTTACAGATCTGAAGCAAGTATCAAATTGAGTGGAAAATCAAGGAAGAAGCAGAATGCCACAGATCCACATATTGTGAGACCAGGTAAGAGAGGAGGCTCAACCTGTTTAAGTCTTAATTGGCAGACAACAGCCAGGTAATGAGTGAGATTAGTCCCAAAATGAGTTCAGTACCTCAGTTGTCCCACCCTGAGCAGGAACAGCCCAATTTGTTCCTACATTTGCAACAAAATAAAGATTCAAATGAAGTTCAAATCAAGATAATATCTATGTACTTAGGTACAGAAGCAGTTCTGTACAGTTTTTGCAATAAAGAACAAACAATCATTGGAATTTGACATTCCCTGCAGCTGCAAAAATACCAAAGGCAATTTCTAATTGTGTAAGGCACTGTTTACACAATTTGAGACAAAGGGAGGGTCTGATAACTGAACAGATCCTGTTGTATTTTGACAGACAGATCTCAAACAGTGGTCTTTTCCCACCGCGCCTTGGTGGCAGCTGCCCCAGGCTTTAGTGCATCCCTCAGCATGTAGTCCTGGACCTTGGAATGTGCCAGTCTGCAACACTCACTTGAGGTCAACTCTTTGCACTGGAAGACCAACAGAGCATCTTTCCCTGAGTTGATGGTCCTCCCAGACACAGTTGATGTTTGTCTCAGTGTGCATTTTGGGGACCATACCAAAGAGCACAGAGACCTGCATCACGGAGCTGATCTGGACGAACCTCGATAAAAACCACTCGTCTCTCTCCAGGTTTCCTTTACAAAGGCACATTCCAGAAGGAGGTTTGACAGTCTCTTCACCTCACAGCCATTTTGTGGGCAGCATGCAATGAAGCAGAGAGTCCAGATGTACGTGAAGGATCTTTCAGGTCCCTTCTCACCACCAGCCAAGCTACATCTTGGTACTTGTTGGAAAGTTCTGGTGATGACACATTCTGCCAGATGACTTTGACAGTCTTCTCAGGGAACCACCGAACAGGTTCAATCCTCTCCTTTTCTTGAAGGGTCTCAAGGATGCTATGCACTGACCACTTCCTGATAGACTTCTGGTCAAAGGTGCTTTTCCTTACAAACTTTTCTACAAGGGACAGGTGATATGGAACTATCCAACTACTTGGAGCATTCCTTGGCAATGAGGCCAGGCCCATCCTTCGTAATACCAGGGACAAGTAGAACCTGCACAACCAGGTGACATATAGTGATGGCAAAGAGTGGGAAGGTACTTTTGTCCTCGTAGAATCATAAAATCCCTACAGTGCCAGTAGACGCCAGTCAGACTGTCGGATCTGCACAGAGCATCCCACCTAGACCAACTCCCCACCCTATCTCCTTAACTCCACATTAACCATGGCTAGTCCACCTGACCTACACATCCCTGGACAGGGCAGAACAATTTTCAGCATGGCCAATCCGCCTAACCTGCACATCTTTGCACTGTGGGAGGAAACCAGAGCACCCCGAGGAAACCCACACAGACACGGGGTGAACGTGCAAACTGCGCACAGACTGTTGTCAGAGGGTGGAATCAAAGCCAGGTCCCTGCTGCTGTGAGGCAGCATTGCCAACCATGGCTTTTACATGCTAAAAGGAAACTTTCATCTATACCGCACCTTTCACAACCCCAGGACATCCCTCAATCAGCATTAATAAAGAAAAAGATTATCTGGTCATTATCTCATTACTGTTTGTGAGAATCGTGCTTTCTACATTCCAACAGTGACCACACCTCAAGAGTATTTAACTGGCTGTGAAACACTCTGAGATGTCCTGAGGTCATGAAAGATTCTGGGGAAATGCTACTTCCTTATTTCGCTGTTGTAATGTAGGACAGTATTCAATTTGTAGCTTTTAAGTGAGGTGGTACAGTGAACATGATGCTGATAATCCAACACACTTGGCACATGCTGAGCTGGCATTAACTGGGGTAGTGATTAGTGTTTCTAGAATTTTAAAACGTTGCCTGGGCTGTGAAGGAAATCACACTGGACAGCTAATCCTACATTAGTTGAGTCAGAGCATGTCAGCATCACAGAGCCCTGTTTCTCAGCATCATTTCTTTGTTATCGTAACAGCATATCACCTGTGGTTAAGGTTATTAAATAATGTCTATTTTTTAAAAAAAACCGCACTTCAGCCCACCTGTTGCATAGTGACTAATGTCAATGTCAGTACTAAGTGTCAGATTATAAACTCAAGTATAGTGAATGCTGGGAGTGAGTGCTCAGTGTGAAGCAAGGCTTTAATCACCAGCTTTACATCAGCACTTCTGAAAGTACAACCCACAGCTCACAAGTCATTCAGAGAGAAATTATCTTTCATGTGGTTCAGACCATACCGTCATCCTTGGTACAGTAAATAGTACTCTCTTACCACTGAGTCAGAATATTGTGGATTCAAGTTTCACACCGGAGACTTGAGCCAGAGCCTAGACTGACACTCCCAGTGCAGCACTGAGAGAGTGCCACACAGTCAAAGGTGTCATCTTTCAGATTAGCAAAGGGCTCTGTCTGCCCTTTCAACTGGACATCAAAGATTCCATGTTCTACTTAAGAGAAGAGCAGTGGAGTTGTGCACATCCATTTTCTATCCACTTCCCTGGTGTTCCTCAATATTTATCTATCCACTAACATCACTAAAAGCATATTATTTGGGCATTATCACGTTGCTGTTTTAGGGATTTTATAGTATGCAAATTGACAGATGCATTTCCAATATTAATGCCAAGACTACATTCTGTAAAGGGAGTCAGTTAACTCAATTGGCTGGACAGTGGGTTTGCAATGCAGAATGATGCCCACTGCATGCATTCACGTCCACATTGGCTGAGGTTACCATGAAGGACTCTCCTTCTCAACCTCTCTCATTGCCTGAGATATGGTGACTCTCAGGTGAATAGAATAGAATAGCCTTTATTGTCATGTACACTCGAATGAGTGCAGTGAAAAGTTTGTAATGTGGCCACTCAGCACCATCTTAGGTACAGAGGACCTAGGTAAAGGTACCTTTAAGTGTAGTTACAGAGTAAAAAAAAGTGTTGTTACAGCGTTAAAAAAAACTATAGATTAGCATTAGTTGAAAAAGTCCAGAATGATAATAAGTGAAGTTCCAATGCATGCCCACCGGTCTCAGAGCACGAGGCCATGCTGCCTCCACGTGCCGACCTCCATCCAGGACTTGCTGTGGCGCTGCTCTGGGAATCGGCCCATACACTCCACATCAGGACTGAGCCCATTCGCTCAGCTCCACTGTGGGACTCAGCCTGTTTGCTCAGCTCCGATGTGGGCCTTGGCCTGTTTGCTCAGCTCTGCTGAGGTTCTTGGCCTGTTTGCTCAGCTCCGCTGTGGGACTCAGCCTGTTCGCTCAGCTCCACTGTGGGTCTCGGCCTGTTTGCTCAGCTCCGCTGTGGGACTTGGCCTGTTTGCTCAGCTCCGCTGTGGGACTTGGCCTGTTCGCTCAGCTCCGCTGTGGGACTCGGCCTGTTCACTCAGCTCCACTGTGGGTCTCGGCCTGTTCACTCAGCTCCGCTGTGGGACTCGGCCTGTTCGCACAGCTCCGCTGTGGGACTCGGCCCACCAGTCATTTTTCTCTTATGAGAGAACAGCCCTATGATCTGCTAAGACTATGGTGACTTTTACATTTTGAAACTAATCAGGTTTGTAAAGCACTTTGTGATGTTCTGAAGTTTGAATGATGCTGTATAAACACAGGTTTCTCTTTTTTGAAGAGTCATATCAGACCTAAAACATTAACTCTGTTTCCCTCTCTACAGATGCTGTCAAACCTGCTGAGTTTCTCTGACATTTTCTGTTTTGATTACAGATTTCCAGCCTTTGCAGTATTTTGCTTTTATTCTTTCTCTGTACTGGGATGCTGTTTTGTGTAGGCTTTATTTCCCCCTTTTTCTAAACTATGTCTCTCAAGACAAGATAAAACAACCTTTTGTAGAGGTTTGTGGTTCAGCTGTATAAATATTTTTACTGCATAGTGCAGCACACACACTGTGACTTGTCTGATTCTTTGGAAGAATAATATTATGCTTAATTTGGAAACCTCCCCCCCACCCCCAGAGAGTGTCACCTCTTGCTGGGTACAGTTCCACAGATGCCAGCAGATTTCCATTACCCAATCCCACTTCCCATTCCTTAAGTGGACCTGTGAGAATGAGAGATTTTGGTTAACTGAGACAACCAAGGGACATGCCAGCACAGGCGTATTGGGCCAAATGGTCGTCTTCTGTACCATAAATTTTCTGTGTTTCCAGATAGAAAAATAAAACAGAGATACAGATCCAACTAAATGGCAGAGCAGACCCAATGGCCTCTTCCTTTTCCTATTGAGTGTCAGGAGGTTGTTTGTCATCACAAGTGAGCAAACTCTAGACCTCATTCAAACATCAATGCCCACTTCATCTGACAAACGGGCTACGTTCCGAAAGCTTGTATTTTCAAATAAACCTGTTGGACTATAACCTGGTGTCATGTGTGATACCTTGTCCATCCCAGTCCAACACCAGCACCTCCACATTATCACTTCCCAAACAGCATCACCAGAGAGATCAGGAGGAGAATACTGGTCCATTTTTTTCCTCAGTCCAGGCAGATTATGACATGCTAAATATTGTCAACACACACTGCAGAATGATGTGAGACTTCTCCGGTCTGTATGAATTAATATTCTCATTAGGTAACACACCTTCCATCCAGCTGCTAGCAAAGTGTATCTGTCACAGGATGAATAAAACTCCTTGTGCTAAGGTGCCGAATTGTATGATTCTGGTACATCCTAAAAGGAGCCAAAATCAGAGGATGGGATGACCTGTGTTAATCATACTCTCAGGTCTGGTTCTGTAGCACGCTGACAGAAACCCCCAGTTTTTACCACTGATCTTTGCGGAGTTATCTGGGACGAACTGTTACAGTAGGTTTCCAACAATTAGCTCCTTCTGCCAAGGGTCCATTGCTGTTTGTGATTTATATAAATGGATGTGAATGTAGGAGGAACAATTAGTAAGTTTGCAGATAACATCAAAATTGGAGGTGTAGTGGACAGGGAAGAAGGTTACCCCAGAGTACAATAGGCTGGGATGATGGGTCAAGCAGTGCCAGATAGAGTTTCATCTGGATAAATGTGAGGTACTGCATTTTGGAAAGGTAAATCAGGGCAGGACTTACACACTTAATGGTAAGGTCCTGGGGAGTGTTGCCAAACAAAGAGACCTTGAAGTGCAGGTTCATAATTCCTTGAAAGCGGGTCGCAGGTAAACAGGGTAATGAAAAAGGCATTTGATATGCTTGCCTTTATTGGTCAGTGCACTGAGTATAGGAGTCGGGAGGTCATGTTATGGCCATACAGGACATTGGTTAGGCTAATTTTGGAATACTGCATTCAGTTCTGGTTTCCATCCTATAGGAAAGATGTTGTGAAACTTGAAAAGGTTCAGAAAAGATTGACAAGGATATTGCCAGGGTTGGAGGGTTTGACCTAGGGGAAAGGTTGAATGGGCTGGGGCTATTTTCCCTGGAATGTCAGAAGCTGAGGGATGAGCTTATAGAGGTTTATTAAAATCATGAGGGGCATGGGTAGGGTGAATAGTCAAGGTCTTTAGCCCAGGGTAAAGGAGTCTAAACCTAGAGGGCATAGGTTTAAAGTGAGAGGGAACAATTTAAAAGGGACAAAAGAGGCAGTGTTTTCACGCAGAGGGTAGTGTGTATATGGAATAAGCTGCCAGAGGAAGTGGTGGAGGCTGGTACAATAACAACATTTAAAAGACATCTGGATAGGTATATGAATAGGAAGGGTTTTGAGGGAAATGAGCCAAATGCTGGTAAATGGGACTAGATTAATTTAGGATCTCTGGTTGGCATGGACAAGTTGGACCGAAGGGTCTGTTTCCGGGCTGTACATTTCTATGACTCCAATAGGGAGGGAAAGACAGTCACTACCCTTGCTCCTGATCCCTACATGGCGATTCCATCAACAACAACAACTTGTATTTTTATAGCACCTTTAACAAAATAGACCATCCCAAGGCGTTTCACAGCAGTATTTTCAGACAGAAGTTGATATCAAGCCACATAAGGAGATATTAGTCCAGGAACCTAAAGCTTAGTCCAGGAGGCAGGTTTTAATGAGCATATTAAAGGAGACAACAGGAGAGAAACACAGTGGTTTAAGGAGGGGCCTGGCCAGCTGCAGGAATGGCTGCCAGTGGAGGAGCAATGAGAATCAGGAATGCTGAAGAGGCCTGAATTGAGTGTAGAGCTCTCATCAGCCAAGGACAGTTTCAGCCTCTCCTGGAAAGATATCCTCAGTTGAGTAGTTTGCTACAATTACATTTAGTTGTGTGGAGACACATGAGATTCCCCTGTAAGATTCACACAAAAAGGCCACACACTTGGATGGAGTACAGGGCACATTGCCGTTTTCCTTGGAACTATGTATTCAAGTGTGTCCCAGCCTTCAGGGGACGGGTAAGTTAAACAGGGGGAAAAGATATTAAAATGAGAAAATTTAAAACCGATACACCTCTAATTTCAGGTGATTATATTATCATGGTGAAGGACGTGACAACTCCACCTTTCCTGGATCACACTCTCCCACCAGCTTTTATTCTCCTGAAGGTGAAACCACACAAACCAAGCAAAAAGGGCAGCAGAAAGGAGCACCACAAAGTATCCAACAAGTAACGAAATTCCTGAAGAACATTACATCTGATGAAGTTTGAGCCATAGCCTTCATGTATTATTTTTGCTTTACACCCCTTAGATCTACCATAGCCCCCTTCTTTAATCTTTCCTTCCTCCACTCCCTCCTCCATTGATGCCATCACTTGGGGTGATAACTTGGAGCACGATTTCATGTCACACGTTCATAGCCAGCAGAGAGTGGAGACTCTCATTCCATTAGTCTGGGTCAGAGTTGAGTCCAGTTCTGAGAAGTGAAAGGGAATATGCTAAACCACAGTAAACACCCAGTCCCAAAATAGCCTGCTCTATAAATGAGAGCAACAAGTGCACAGAAAGAAAAGTCCCTGCTGAAGCGGAGGTGTCACTTCGGAGCAGTTTTGTACAGAAGCGAATAGTTGTTTTTGTATTCTGTTTACTTCAGTTCATTAAGGTATAAATATTTTTAAAAATCTCTATTTAATAAACCATGTGTTTGAATGTTTTCACTTCCTTTAAAACTGTAAAGGGTCTATAAGCTTCAGATGCAGCTGGTGGGAGGAAAGTCTTTATGTCTCATTGAGAGGTTCATATTTGTGAAACAGAACAGGATGGTCAGATCTGAAGAAACATAGGGCAGCAAATATTTTCGGAAAACAACGTAAACAACATACCAAAGTGACCTGCTTTACCATCCAAGTTACAGCTTTCCCAATGTTTTTGTCAGTGTGTAAATGTGCCATATTCAGCAAGATCATTCCTTAGCTTATGCTGAGTTAGCAGATTTCAGCTGGACTGGTTATAGTGAAGCTATCATTTGCCTCACTGCCTACAGTCAATTACCGTGCCATTTAAATCATTACTCATATGAGGTACCAGGTTGACCTCCAAACTGTAATACTTTGCTTTTGCAGAGAAGTGCTGGGCTATGGAGAAAGAAATGCAGTCACCAGATTAGCACAGGCACAATGGTCCAAATGGCCTCCAATTCTGTGTGATTATATGAAGTGGAAAAACATTAAGGGGCATTTTAAATGTCACCACAGTGCAACTATCTTTCTGTTAAGGATCTATGTTAGCAGCCACTTGTGATTGGATTAGTGAAGTCTGGAACACTCCTTTCTGGGTGACTGTCTCTCTTTGGCCTCTAATATTTTGATTTCTCTCTCACTTTTATTTTTTCTGTGCCTCTGTCCCCAAATTCTCTTTCCAGTGCTGTAGTGCTTGTATTCTTTCGGTTTGCAGAGTGATCTGCTTTATTTATTATGCCTGATGCCTCTCCATTCTCAGTGTCTGCTGCAATCTTCAGTTCACCCTTACACCTCTGCTTCATGATTGATAACCACTCTGCTTCCCCCACCTCCCAACATTGCAACCATGACTACTCCTCCATCTCTCCCCCACCAGCCCATTCCTGCTCCTCTGTACTCAATGATCTTGGCCCACAAACGTGTCTTTTGTTAATGTTCAGTTGGAATTTTAGTATTGCATCATTAGTTCAAGATGTCATTTAATTCTGTCTGGATAGTTCACGTTACTGTGCTTTTTGAAATATATAAACCGTTTGGGAAAAAAGGCTTTGACGTATGAAGCAATGGTTTATAGATAATCTAAACAGTGCACTGTGTGCTGGGAGTCCTGGTTCAAAATGTTTCCATGAGTAACATTCAGATTCAATTGAGCGTCTAATCTGTCTGGAGTTAGAGATCCCAACTGTCAACCAGAAACATCAAATGGAGAGGAAACATCCAGGCAATATCTCTATAGTTCTACTTTAGCACCCCTACCACACCACACCAGTGACAGAGACTGTGAAAAATGACTGGGCTTGTAGTGATCTCCAGAAATGGAGAATTGGGGAACAAAGGGAGAAATCCACTAGGGTTTGGGGTAAGGTGGTTGGAAAAGGGTTACTACAAACAGGAGAAATCCATCAAGACTGTCCCACCATTTAGTTAGATCATGACTCATGTTATCTCGACTTCATCTTCGATCCTTGGTTTAACACCTGTTCATGACAAAAAAATTTAGTCTTCATCTTGAAAGCTCCAATTAGCCCCCAGCTTCCACAACATTTTGATAGAAAGATCCAAATTTCCCCTTTGGGAAGGAGTGTTTCCTGACACCAACCCTGAGTGGTCTGACTCTAATTTTAAGGTGTTGCTGTCTTATTCTGAATGTACCCAGCAGAGGAAACAGTACCTACCTTATCAAATCCTTTCATACCCTCAATTAAATCACCCCTTAATTGTCTATAATCAAGACAATACAAACTTTATCTACACAGAATGTTCAGAAGAAGTCATATTCAACTTCAACTCTATTTCTCTCTATAAATAGGCTTCTAGACCTCTTGAGGTTTTCCAGTACTTCCTGTTTTTGTTTCAGGTTTCCAGCATCCATATTATTTTGCTTTTACTTTATCTACGCTCTCTGTCCTTAGTGTTTAAATGTTTGGGAAGGTAGGAGTATGATAGAATCACTGTTGACTCTTACACTTCAGGTGTTGCAGTACTATCACAAATCGTAATCATTGCACTGACCATCTCTGTAATTTTTATTCCTTTCTGTCTCTGGAAAGGACTGACATTACAAAGGTACTGTTTCCCTTCCAGGATTTTGCCTCACAGACATTGTGTGAACAGGCCACCATTTAGAAGCTGGATCAGCATCCGCTATGACAGGGTTCAAGAAAAAGGAAAAGGGAGACTGATCTGTGACATGAGAGGGCGAGTGACTATTTGACAAAAGGGATGAGAGTGCAAGGCCAGCACAATTAATCTGAATTCATAAATAGTCATTATTGTAGTCACAGTACTTAGAAAGCAGTTTCTTCTCAGTCCCCTGGAGGATGATGAGACCTCTGCAGATGTCAGCTGGCTCTGAAAGGTCTTTGAAAGCAGCCTGGCATTGCTAACTAAACAAAAAGTTGCTTTTCTCTTTGTAGAGCCTGACACCAAACCCCCATCATCAGCCATGACGAGGTTATTTACCATGTCCAACAATCAGGTGTGGAGTCTTGGTTCCACTTATCGTTTGGTTTTTCAGATGGTGAAATGAATTTAAAACCTTCATATCTAAAGCCTTTGCATCATGAGATTCTCAGACAAATGGATGTCTGTGCAGTTTACACTTTAGATAATGCAACACAAAATCTGAAACCATCTCATTCCTCAAGCCTTTGCCAACTCTCCGCTCAAGTCAGCCACTGGGAAGTGCACATGAGCTACTTGCGTGCAACCCTATACCTCCCTCAGAGTATCAATTTCGTCTACTGCTTGTGCTCCTCAGCAAGTGATGGAATATGAGAGACAGCATTTATCCATGCCACATTGCCAGCCTGTACTCAGAGTGCAAGCATTCATGTTTTTTCAATGCACTAATTATGACCCATTGTAAAACTAAAGCAATACAGACAGGAAGGCCCAGGTTTCGTCCTTAATCTGCACATAGAACCAACTGGTCTCAACAGTTAGACTCAGTGCCTTTCATGACCACAGAATGTCCAACACTCTGGATGACAAAGTAAGTTCTTTTGAAGTAAAGTCCTGGTAGTAAATTAGAGAAAGGTAGCTAATTTGTGCACAACAAGGTCACACAACCCGCAGTGAGGTAAGTGAACAAGTAATTTTTCAGTGAAGAAGATTGAGGAATAAAAGTAGATCAGGCCACTGGGATGAACACCCTTGATCTTTTACATTCACCTTACAGTGCAGGTTTAATGCTTCATCTGAGAGACAGAACCTACAATGGTGCAGCATTGGGTATATTGACCGCTAGAATGGTTATGTGCTCTGGAGTGGAACTTGAACCTACCATCCCAGAACTCAAAAGGCAAGCATAAAAAAAGTACTACTAATCAAACTGAGGTTAATACTTCAAAGGGAGAGAGAAACCAGGCTGGTGGGGGCTGAGGAACATGCCTGATGACCTCAGTTCCCTGTGGTTATAGGGTGAAGATGGGACTGGACTTGGCTGTGATACTTCTCCTAATTTCAAATTTCCTACACACGGTTGTTACCTGCAGTCACAAACTCAATATAGCCCCCAGTACTGGATTTCAAAGGGCTGCTATGAACTGCCTTACAACAGGTGGGTCGGTGCCTTCAGTAGGAAGTAAAACAGGAAGATGCAAGGGGAGAGTACAAAGTTGGCCGTGTCTAACTCTATCTTCCCCGCAGCTTGTTTTGGATCACCAAGGAAAGTTTGCAGTGTTCCAAATATCCCTGGCATCACTCAAAGCCTGGATTCATTCAGCACCTTTCTTTGACAGATTCTGGTTAATCAGAGTCCCTCTACCCTGAATGTTTGTCTATACCGAGGCTGTTATAACCTAAAGGCGGGTTAGGATCCCTAACTCTGCAGGAATAATCTAGATCCTCAAGAAATTGAAGATTAATCTCCAGGTTACTGTTGTGAATAGTCCCTGGGAAAAATATCACAAGGGCCTTGTGCAGTCTTAATATAATTTTCTTTTGAAATACTTTAACCAATTAGTTATAAAAATATTGGAGAGGTGGGGGTGGAAGCTGAATATTTGGAGAGTGAGAGGGCATTCAATTTAAAGAATCAAATGCAATGTGAGGAAAAGGGTATTTTAACACTAAGTGATTAGAGCCTGAATTAGACTATATTGCCTGAAAATCAGGTGGAGGAAAATACAAATGTGCTTTTCAAAAGGGAATTTGGAAAATTACCTGAAAAGAAAAAAATTGCAGGGCTATGGGCTAAAGACAAGAGAGAGGGGGACCAGCTGAGTTGCTCTTGTAGAGAGCTGACACGTATATGATGGACTGAATGGCCTCCTTCTGTGGTGTATCCTATGATTCAATGTTTCCATGATGAAAGCTCCAGGAATACATCCAATCGGAATTGGCAACCCTACAACAGACCATTCACATGAGCATTGGCCAAGTAAAGTTGGGCAGTTTTCTGAGAGGTTTTCTCAGAGTCAGTCTGTCGCCAGAGTCTAAAATGAAAGATAAATGATGTGTTAGGCTGCAGAGGGCAGCAGTTTTTTGTGAGTCCCAAGTTATTTTTTTGGACCATGTGATGGGCCGGCCTCCTGCTCCACCTGCCAACCCCCTCTGCCTCCTCTCCCTTCTCCAATGAAGCAAATAATCAGAAAAGGGACTGCACACGGCTTCCTTTGTAGCCACCCCCACCGCAAAATACAATCTTTACTTCATCGTGGAGTTGTAATTGTTGAAACTCTTGCCAGCTGGGGCTCGTATTTTCTTGCAGATGTGAGATGGGTTTGTGGTTTGCCCTTTCAGCACAATGAATGCTCTGTTAATCAGCTAACATTCAGAATAGTCTGGTGTGGGTTTGGATGGCAGCCAGCCTAATCCATCAGGCAATGGATTGTTCATTCCAGGCAGAGCAAGCAGAATGCCACCAGAATCTAGGATGATCACTCTGTGTAGACAGCCCTCCATATCTCACAGGAAGATAGTATCGGAGTGAGTGAGGGAAAAGAAAATAAAGCAGCCGGATGAATAATTTATCATTCATTCATTCTGCTGACTTCAGTTACTTATACGACAAATAACCAGCTGCAGCCTCCTGTGTGGCTCACTGCAATAGGGTAGCCTTATCACAAATGCATCACTTAGTGCTACACTGAGCCACTCAGAAGGGGCAAGTTCAATCTTCAGTTTGTGCCACTTTATTTGAACATG